CTTTTAAAGGATTGAATTTATGCTACTTTCTAAGGTGGAGCAATTGAACAAATTCTAATCTTTAGTTCTTCGAATATTAAATGAATTAAGGATTCTTTTAATTCTTCAAGAATTATAGATTTTTGACATATGGCAAGGTTAGACTTTTCTTATCCTGTCTCAAATCCTAAAATAAAATACCTTGATTCTTTACCCAAAATAACTCATGGTCATTACCAAAAAGACCAAATTTTGATATTACCTCCCTTTGAAATTCTTGAACATTACCTTTATCTTTTTGATACACCCACACCTTTCTTTGAGTCAATAAGATCACACCACTGTCTTTTTTAGACTCAAAAATAACCTTTCTTACCATTAAAACCCAAGGCATTCAGTTGTTCATTTTAACATGAGCATTCTTCTAAAGAACCAACTTGGGGTATCTCACGGGGAGCATGAACATTGAGATATCTGGAAAAAAAAAAAAGAAAAATTCATTCAAAATAATTCTATCATGCATTAATTACATTGTTTTCATGTGAAAAGAATTAATCTTGAAAATCTATCCCCCTGGGGATACCTCTTCTGTGAAGATTTACATGTATGAAATGATGAACGGCTTTCTTTCTTTATCCCTTCACAACAGGAGAAAAACATATATCCCTTGTGTCCCCTTTTGAGCCTGTAGTATTTTTCTTCTGATTCAACCCTAACCAAGGATCACCCTCCACACTGGGGGGCAAGGTGGAAGAAATATGCTCACATGAGCGAAGACATTGATTCAGATGAGATACCAAAAGGTGGACCAAATGGAAAGTGCGAAGATCCAATCAAGAACAAAAAGAAAAGAAGCAAAAAAGTAAAAAAAACAAAGAAAAAAGAGAAAAGAGAAAAAGCAAAAAGAAAAAGAAAAAGGGACAAAAAGCACATGGAAAGATTCCCTAAAGATAAATGTCACATCAAGCTTCAAACTATAAGATTGATCAAGCACAAACATTCCTGAATCACTGAATCACTTCACTCAAAGATCATAGAGCATCAAGAGAGAGACATTTTGAGCAAGACATGATTGAAGGCATCAGAATGAATTGATCCTTGGTTCAACACCCTGAAACACTTGTTTGGGCCTATTTATCATTTTTTTTATAACCATGAACTCTGACCTACATTACGTGCCTTAAAAGTCCCTTCTAATCATACATGGATTTCTAAACATAAGAGATTATCTTCAGATTTCATCCCGCCCATCAAGATTAATCTTTGTTTGCAAAAAACAATTTAATTAATGCATGATAGAGAAAAATAACAAAGGGGGTTCAAGACGTAAATCCTGAATAACGTCTTGAAACCAAAGGAGGGTTCGAGTTAAAAACCTGAAAAGGTGGCTCGAATATAAAAATTGTGCAACTGAGGCGATCACACAAATTCCTTGATACGGCATCACACAACCCGAGTGTGACCACGAAGATTGGGAGTCAGAGAACACCAGTAGAGGAGCATGCAAGCTACCCCATCAAACCGTTGAGCATCAAATGCCAAACCTATGAACATCAAATGCCAAACATTTGAACATCAAATGCCAAACCCTTAACCAAACATAATAACCTGAGATTTTTTTTATCCTTTCCTTACTTAACCACTTCCCAAAAATAGCTTTGATCTTGGCACTTGTCAAATAGCTATAATTCATTGAAGGATTAACAATATAGTTAATTCTTTGATATCCGATGAACTCTAGTTTATGATTCGTCTCAATTGTAAAATCGTGAAAGTGACAATATTTTCAAAACTTTGGATCAAACATTTTTCAAAACTCTTTTAATTGATATTTTCATAACTTTGAAAATAAAAGAGAAAGAAAAACATTTTTTTCAAACAAGACAGTCTATCTAGAGTGGATCTTGGTAAATGACATGTGACTTTTAGACACAAAACTCATGCTCAGAATCAATACTGAAGCAAGAAATGAGGAACATTTGGGGCATCTTTGAAGATTCAACATCAAATATTGGGGCATTTTTGGATTCAACATCCTAATGCAAATTATCAGACCTTTTTCAGGAGATAAAATATAACCAATTCTTGTTACATGTATCTTATGCATACATTTTAGAGCATCATATTATCATTTTCCACATACATAATTTTTTGCAGCTTTTAGAGTCAAGTTTCGACTTCAAGACGAAGGATACTCGATTCAAAAGCACCTTTAAAGATTCATGTTGGTTGCTTAACTCAGCAGCAAGAAGCTACACTTCGACCAACTCGACAGATTGAAAGTTTCTCTCGAACTAACAATTTGCTCGAGAGTAGATTTCAACTTCACAACGAAAGATATCTAGCTCAAAGCCAAACATCCACGATTTCAAATCCACGACGGAGGATATCGTGCCACTCAAGACAACACAAGTTCAACTTCACGACGAAGGGACCGCTGGTTGTCAATAAACAACTTCCCAATTTCAGAGCCAATTTCAACTTCACAGCGAAGGATATTGGACTCCAGACAACGCAAGTTCAACTTCACAACGAAGGACCACTGGTTGTCAACAAACAACTTCTCAATTTCAGAGCCAATATCAACTTCACAACAAAGGATATTGGACTCCAGACAACGTAAGTTCAACTTCACGACGAAGGGACCGCTGGTTGTCAACAAACAACTTCTCAATTTTAGAGCCAATTTCAACTTCACAATGAAGGATATTGGACTCCAGACAACGCAAGTTCAACTTCACGACGAAGGGACCGCTGGTTGTCAACAAACAATTTTCCAATTTCAGAGCCAATTTCAACTTCACAGCGAAGAATATTGGACTCAAGACAACGCAAGTTCAACTTCACGACGAAGGGACCGCTGGTTGTCAATAAACAACTTCCCAATTTCAAAGCCAATTTCAACTTCACAGCGAAGGATATTGGACTCCAGACAACGCAAGTTCAACTTCACGACGAAGGGACCGCTGGTTGTCAACAAACAACTTCTCAATTTTAGAGCCAATTTCAACTTCACAACAAAGGATATTGGACTCCAGACAACGCAAGTTCAACTTCACGACGAAGGGACCGCTGGTTGTCAATAAACAATTTCCCAATTTCAGAGCCAATTTCAACTTCACAGCGTAGGATATTGGACTCAAGACAACGCAAGTTCAACTTCATGACGAAGGGACTGCTGGTTGTCAATAAACAACTTCCGGTTCCAGAGCCAATTTCAACTTCACGACGGAGGATATTGGACTCAGAACAATGCTACTTACTTGGATTTCAACTTCACGACGAAGGATATCTAATTTAGGCTCAACTTCACGACGTAGGGGCCACCCGCGGTTTCAACTTCACGACGAAGGGAATCGTGCACAAAAGCATCATCCATCTTTATATTGGATTTCAACTTCACAACGAAGGATATCCAACTCAAAGAAGGAGTATCTGTCAACAAAGACCTTCGAGTTCGACTACGCTCAGCTCCAAGGCACTTCATTTACAGCATAACCCAAGGCTAGAAGGGTTATCTGCCATCAAAATTGTCGAGTTCGATTCCATTCAGCTCGATGACATATCAATCGCACTACTTTCCGGTTACAGTCGAGGTTTTCAAGTTGAAAAGAGGACCTGGGTTAACCGTGCTTTAGTGACAAGCAACCATTTTCAAGTAAAAGCTATCTGTCAATGAAGATTTCTGAGTTCGATTCCGATCCAAGGTCTTTAAATCGAGAAGAAGACTGAACTCGGCTATTTCAAATTCTGAACTACGGCTTCAATTTCATATCATTTCAAGATGAACTCGGCTTCACGACGGAGGAGTCATCCGTAACTCAATTCGACAGGGAGTTATTGAAACATCAGAGTCAATTTTCAACTCCACCGAATGAAAAGTGTGTCTTTTAATCTTTGCCCTATCCCCGTTACACGACTATGGGCAAAGAGGGGCAGCTGTCAACACACATTTTCGTCCTACTAGGATTCAAACTCCTAAAAATAGGATAGAATTTTGCTAGGATTTAAACTCCTAAAAATAGGATAGAGTTTACTATGATTTAAACTCCTAAAGATAGGATCCACAAGCACTATAAATAGCCATTGTAACTCACTATTGTAACACACGATTTACAGACAAAATACAGAGGAAAACACGGAAAATACAAAGGCAAAGCTATTGTAAATGATTCAAAAAGGAAATAAAAGGTATTTTCGTCAATTAATCAGAGGTAAGTAATTCATTATCAAATTTTATCTTTTAATTTAAAATTACAATTTTCTTAATTAAGACAATGGGAAATTACGTAGTACCGAAAGGGCGGTTCAAGGGTGCTAATCCTTCCTTGACCGTAACCGACTCCCGAGCCTGACATATTTCTGGTAAGACGCAGATCAGGTAAGAAATAGGGTATCCGATCAACCCATTTATTTTTAAATAAATGATCGGTGGCGACTCTCAATCCACATTTTTCAAGTCGAAGCCCAATCCCGGGGCCCAACCGAAATACAGTTGCGACACTTTGTTTGTTGGTGATGACCGTCGGACGGTTCAGAGGTGGAGGCGTGTTGCCATGAAACGTGGATGCGTGCTGTTGACTCCATGCGATGCTGGGATGAGGCTGAAGCAACTAGGGTTTCCAAACAGACCCTAACTTGCAATGGGTTGAGGGGTTGGTTCGGGTTCGGTTCGCGGGTCCTGAACCGGGTCGCAGGTTTGTTGCGTTGGGTCCCATGTTTTCTGGGCCACCCACTGTTTGGGTTGCGTGTAATGGGCCTGCAAGTGTAATAAAATAATAAATAAATATACATGTATATATATACGTTAAATAAACATGAATATATATATTATAAATATGTGGTATGAGAATGAGAGGAAATTATGTTCAACACAAACATTTCTTGCTTATAGAGAAGCCAAAACCGAATAATGTTTTATCATTTTGTCCATGACCAAATTAGACTCCATATTCAGCACATAGAAAAATGCAGCGGAGAAGATTCATGGACAACTATAAAAGCAGCTTGTAGTTATGTACCTCTTCCAAAGTTCTTGACCAAAGGGATTTCTTTTTCAAACACCTTACGAGCTTTCGTTGTTGCTTTAGCTCACTTTGTAAAATCATGAGATTCTCTCCTGTAATCCAAGAACTCTTAATAAGATGATATCAACCAGAAGAAGTTTCATCAAGATAAATTGAATGAGTGAAAGAATCATCCATGCCTAACCTTTTAGGGAGATTTAAGGACTCCACTTCTTCCTGTTTTCTCCTATATTCTTGCTCAAATTTGTCCAGAGCATTCAATTCATGGTACAGTTCCTACAAGTATAAACATCAGTTAGATTCTTGAAGTACACTACATGGATTAAAAAGCTTTCAAGAACCAAGACCCTAAACTAAATATACAGTGATAAACCATTCACAAAGATGGAAAACTCTGATGTTAGAGCTCGAATCACACAACATAAAATTGGACGATAAAACTTACCGAGGTGTGCGGAGCAAGAGACGCTAGTTCTTTCATTGTCGTTTCTGCGTCAGCTCTAACTTGTTTATGGAGTGAATTGTGTATATCTAGTCTGACAGATCGGTGACAGTAGCAAGAGATGCATAACTCCATCAGTAAACATTAGCGAAGTAAGCTGAAAGCAGATGCTTAACAAAATAAAATCTACCCTACTTTGAAAAGTATCGGTCAAGGTTATGCCACTGTGGATCTTTACAAAGATCTCCAAATCTAATTACTTCGCGCGAAAAAATATCCAATTCATCCCTATATATGTCGAAGGTTTGAACGCTATAATAGGATATTGAAGTGCAAAATTTAGGAAATCATTGTCTGCGTAGAGAACAATCAAAAGCACTTAAGCTACCTCTTGTCAGCTGCAACAATACTTAGCAACTCCTTCATGTTTGTAGAAACTAGCTTTTGTACTCCTGCTGAATGCAAGACATCCTTTTTAAGGAATTGTATGTTCTGCTCTGAAAGTGACCGCAGCAAATTTGCTCCTTTAGCCATCGTATTAGCCACTTCGAATGCCAATATAGATATTGTATTTCCTCTAGAAGCCAGGCCAGTGACAAAGCCACTTCCGTGATTCAAATTCGTCATGCTACTTCCAAGTGTATCTAGAACGTCAACTGCCCTCTCTAGGCCTATAATCCCAGCCCTTCCTACAAATGAACTCCGGTTAGAAACCTCCAAAAACAAACAAAAATATTCGAACAATAGTCATGAGATTGCATTATTCGATGAGTGCAGACAGTGATCGGAAATAGATGCATAAACAAGTTGTTCCTTAATCCTCAAGCTGCATTAAAGCAAGACTCGTATTTATAAACTGAACATTCTAATTAATGCCATTTATTCTTTGCAAAAAACAGGCATCTACAAGCTGTCCCTTACTCCAGTGAGTGCTTTTCGATTCGGAGTTTAATTATTAAACACTTTTATTATCTTTCAAGGTACATGCATTTATCTTCCCGATTCAAATTAATCGTATCCAAAAGGATTTCTTATAAAACTGTCAATAAAATTGGATGGTCATATTTTTATCAAAAAAAATGGAAATGAAAGTGATGGTTTTAAATGGAAAAATCCTAGTTTGCTGCTGACAGGTCCCAAAAATAAATAGAAAAGTTGGGCAAATTTATGAGGAAGAGGAAGAAGCAGCTTCGGTTGTTGGGATGATGGGCTCTTACATCTTTTAAGCCTGCGTGTTTTCCTGTAAAACAAATCAAACATATTCTGACTAGACAGGGCAAGTAGGATAAAAATTTAACCAAATAATGTATGGGAATATTCAATTTAAAAAAAAATTAAAGTGTGATCCACTAGACGATTCTTTTTGAATAAAAATTGGAAAGTGCATTCATTGTTAATCTCGTTTTCCGAGTTTAAAAAAAGTAATGTCAAAATTAATTCTTAAAGTCAAATATTATTTTTGTTTATATAAATATATTTTTAATATATTTTGGTCTTCGATGTTAGTTTCAATATATATAGATAATGTGATATTTTATATATACTTAATTATTGACGTGACATATATTATAAGAGTATTTTGGTTAAAAAATAAAACATTAGATGTTAAAGTACGAAAATATATAAATCAAAATACTTATTTAGACAAATATAGAGCACTAAATTTTAATTTATGTATTAATTAGCTTTTTAAAGCTAGCTCCATCTGTTGATTGCTTTTACAAGAAATCAATTTTATTGGATTCGATACAGCTTGTATCTATGGGTCACAAATCAATTTCAGTTTCTATATGTGAATCTTGTTTTTGTGACATGGAACTATAAGTAGATGAAATGGGTTCTAGAATCCTTTTAGCATCATTTTTTTCACTACCACTCTTCTCTCCAGCTTAGTTCTATTAGGTTTTTCTTTGTAATATTTGGTTCTCTTTTTTTTTGTATCATCACCCTTGTGTAAATACTTGTGTAAAATCGTTTTCATACCCTTATTCCCCCTGTAACTGGTATCAGTCCCCCGGAGTTTTCGATCTTTGAAATAATAATATACAAGTTTATTGTTAGTTCTATCTTTATCTTGCACTCTGTTCATTTCAATATTTTATCTTAAAACTCATATATCTATTATTCTGCTTTACTTTTGCCTCAATTCAGTGGAGTGACGTTTAGGCCTTGTTGTTGTAAAGCTTGTGATTTTCACAGATAACGGAAGGTTTTAGGTACCAAAGATAAAATTATGAAAAAAATAGACTATTTGTTTAAAGATAAAGAATTAATGGAACATTGGAAATTAAAAAATTTCAACTACTAAGGATAAGAATGAAAAAGTAGAATATTTAAAATTAATAGAAAAACATTATGAAGAACATAAATAATTATTTGTTTTGTTTAACTATCATTATATGTTAAATTATGATACTACAAACTGTAATACCAGTTCTGAAAATAATTCAGAAGATATATAAGCTATAAATGTTTCAAAAACAACTGAAACAGAAACATCTGATGAGCAGAATAACTTTTCAACAGAAGAAAATATTAATATTCCAAAAGAAAATATTAATAATCCATATCCTATGCAAACAGATCAAACATATCCATATCCAAAATGAAAAAGAAAATTATATCTTGATCCTTTTGAAGACGATTATTTAAGGTCTTTTAATCGAGAAAACGATAGAGACCAAAATACTATTAGGTTAATAGGAGAGCAAGTAGAAAATATTTACACTAATGAAGTCAAAACTAAACAAACAGGAGAAACTTCTAGTTCCTTATAGTATAGAAAATCATAATAAAAGAAATGTTGCTCAAGGAGGAGTATATCTAGACTTAAGTAATATTCCTATATCAGACTATGAAAAAATCATAGATGATTGGCACAACCTATGGCAATTGTTGTAAACAATAATAATTGGCCAAATGAGAGATTTTTAAAGTATTTTGTTGGAACTTTTCAAGGAGATGTTTTGCAATTTCTTCGTAGATAGGAAGAATCGACAATAGGTATGGAACAAAAAGGGCGATTAATTAATCAAATTCAAATGCCTAAAGATGTTTTAAAAGGATTAATACAAATTCTAAAAACATAATTTTGTGATTATACTGATAAGAAAGATCAAGACGATCAAACTAGTTATATTTATCAAAAATAAAATTATATGATATAAGATATTTAGAATAATTTTCGAAAATATTTCTTCATGAATATCAAAAATTAAAAAATTAAAAAAATAGAATTTTGGATATTTCCATAAATTACCACCACCATGGGATGAGCTTTGTATAAACAAATATGAATCTTATCTTGAAAAACATAGTATATTATCTGGTGTAGAAATTAGTGAAATAGATTCTATAGGAAATAGAATTAATTTTGCTAGAAAAAGAATAACAAAATAATGTCTACAAACTAAAGCCATGAAACAAGTGAAAAATAAATTAAGTGGTAGACATTGTACAAAAAATCTAGAAAATGAATGGGAATTTGGATGTAAACAAATACATTCAAATAGAAAAAATAAAAAGAAAAATAAAAAATATAAATTAGTTAGATGGAGACCGTGGAAACAATAAGGTATCCAAAGAATAATTGGAGAAGAAAATTTATTAGAATAAAAACTTCTAAAAATACTAGAAGTAAAAAAATTAATTATAAATGTTTTATCTATGATGAAGAAGGTCACATAGCAACAAATTGTCCTAACAAAGGAAAAAAAGGCTAAAAAGATGATAAAAACACTTGAAGAACAAGAGTTATAAATTTGTTCAGAAGCGGAAACAATTCATGGTGAAATATACGAATTAATATCATAAACATAATTTGATAGTGATGAAGATGAGTTCATATTTATGTTAGGTAGTAATTCTAATAATCAATTAGAAGAAATGCCTAATAATGAACAAGAAGCAATAAAATTAGATAATATAATTGGAGAAAGAAAGATCTCTATGATGAAATGATAGAAAAAATAAATAAAAATAATATTTCTAAATAAGAAATATATAAAATATCAAAATTTTAAAATTTGAAGTCAAAGACACATTGAAAAAAAGTAGTGGAAATATTGTAGCCAGAGACACAAAAGGAGGATTAACTGAAATCCCACTATTTATTAAAGAATTTTTTTAAAAACAATTAGGCATAAATATCCACAAGTTAGATATATTCATTTAGGAGTAATTATGATAACTATAAAAGCTTTATTTAGGAAAGGTCATGATGTACCAATATTAGTCGTATTGTTAGATAAAAGATTTGAAAACCTCATAAAAGCACTTATAGGTGGTATTCAATCTAATTTACACATGGGAGTTATTGGGTTAAAGTTAAACCAAACTATTTTATTTCTATAACTGATTCATTAATTGAAGAATGTTTATGTTTAAGAATTCAAACTAAGAATTATGATATTAAAGATTTAGCAGAAGATCTAGCAATAAGTTGGACTGTTATAAATGAATATACTAATACAGTTGAGGTATAAATAAAAGAGGTTAATAGTAAAATTATTGAACTCTTTGAATCAAATAAATTTACTTCTGAAATTCAGCATAAATTATTACACTTAAAAGATTTATCTTTACCGAGAGACTAGATATTAGAATATTCTAGTACTCCTAAATTTCTAAACATAATAGAGTATGCTTCTTTAAGAGATAAATTATATTTTAAAAATACAATAGTGGTAAATAACCAAAACATGGTTTTACCATCTTCTAGTCAAATAAATGACGATGAAAAAGAATAAAATAATAATACACTGATATGTATGAAAACAATTAATATTCATATTTTCCCAACCGAACTAAGTAGAAATTCTAGAAACACTAGAATGGAAGAAATAAATACATCAGCTATAATACAACAAATGAAACTTGGAAAAGAAATAATTACATTTTCAAGATTTCAATCTAGAAAATATTATACATATATTGAAATAACATTTTAGTTTAGAGAATATAATACATATTCTTTACATGCCTTATTAGACAGGAGCTACAATCAGTAGTTACCGGAAAAATGAAATTCCTGTAGAAAAATGAGAACCAATGAAAAATACAATTAGAGTTGTAGGAATAAATGGTAATAAAACCATTATTCAATATAAAGGTAGGAATATTTCAATCTACATAAACTATGTAAGATCTTGTAATTCCTAAAATATTATGCTTTCCAGAAATGCATGGAGACATATAAGGAAATAATTTTATATATCAACACTTACTATTTTCTATTAATAAAAACATGGTAATTTATACGTAGAAAAAACTTTTGTAAAAATACTATTAGTTGAAAATCATAAATTTATATCTGAGAAAAATTTAATCCACCAAGAAAAGAAAATATTTAGCATCTAGAAACAAATGGATGGATGTTTAAAAATTAGAAAACAATTTTAGTGAAGAATCACTAAAACTATGGAAAAATAGTCTTAGATATTGTAGTATAAAATTGGAAAATCATAATAAAATTATACGAGTAATACCAATGATCTATACTAAACAAGATATAGATGAATTTGATAGTCAAATAAAAGAATTATTAAAAAAATATTAATAGAAGAAACTAATAGTCCACACTCTAGTCCAACATTTATGTTAAGAAATCATGCTGAGATTAAAAGAGGAAAAGCTAGAATGGTCATTAATTATAAAAGATTAAATCAAAATATTATATTTGATGGCTATTTTATTCCAAGAAAAGATGTGTTAAT